TCTTTTTTTTATTTTTTATTTTTTTTAAGTGATAGAAGCTAACCCTGACTACCCCTTTCCTCTGCAAACCCAGTCATGCAGGCCTTCCACCTATGACTTTGTCTGCGCCTCCATGCCTGACTTAGCCAGCCACACAGATGAAAAGACTTTGCTATGACCTTGAGGACATAATGTTTAGATATTGTAGTGACATAAAAAATGTTCTTCAATATTTTCAAGAGGCAGCTACTAAATAAAATGAGGCATTTTGCACAATCTTTGACATTTTTCTGAACTAAAATACAGTTAATCAGGGTGCTCGAAGCTCAGAGAGCCTTTTGTTCCCTGTAAGATGGACATATAGTTTTTCTACCAATCAGTGGATTGGACTCATGAGGGATATTGAATGGCTTAGAAAAATGACAAATATTTGACACTCTTTCTGTATGCATTGTGAGAAGATAGATGAAGCAGATGCCACTTGCTGCTGCTAGGAACAAAATGCTTTGTGAAATCAATACCTTTTTATTTAGGTGCTGAAAACATGAAATTACATGAAAATGAGGCTCCAGAGAACCAAGCGTGATAACATTTACATCCAAAGCAGAGCATGTGATTCATATGAAGGGCTGCAGCCTGGTTAACAAATACTTATTTTTGGGGTATTATTCTGTGGAGTAAATCATTGGGTTCCATCGAGAAAAGTAAGTAAGGTTTGTTTAACTGATATTTTGGTTTTGGATGAATATTCCAATACTAAATCACCCATTGGCATCATACAGCTGTTGGAGACTGCACCATGAGATATCTGTCTAAGCTCAAGGCTTGATCCTCCACACCCCCATTGCCACCCACACACATATTTCTGTAACTGCTATGATCAGAAACTCGGATCTCTCAGAACTATGAGCAGCTGGTGACTGATCTGACTTCATTGACATCTACGAATATTCAAATATCAATTTCAGTTTTGGGTAAACTTGGTCTTTGAGTTTCCAGCAGACATGAGACCCTTAATGTACACTACCTGCAATTTATATCAATTCAGTTCACACCCTAGCTCAGGGGTGGGCAACTATGGCCCTCCAGCTGCTGGGGAACTACAAGTCCCATGAGGTATTGTAAGACTGAAATAGCTGTTCATTTTCTGTAGAAAGCTGACAATGCTGCTTCTTTTGCACTGAAATCCTAAGCAACGTTGTCAGCACTGCCTACGTTTTTTCACTGCTGAACTTCAGAACACCTTCCACATATGTCATTCCGATGAGGAGAGGAATGTGTGTCCTATAGTCCAGCAGAGAGAGCAATTTTCAGAGACAAAACATGGGGAAATGTGCATGAATTACAGAGATGTACTGAATATGTTTTTTCGACTTTGCCCGGACATTCAGTATACTTTAAGTTTATCAATTGTGGTTTTCTATACATGGTATTTTTCTCTCTCTTTAAATATATATCATGGCAAATGATTCCTAGAGCACTTTGGGGTTTTAAAAGAGAGAACTGCAGTCGTTTTTTTTTCACTTCGTTGTACTGACTCTTATTGAAACCTCATACAGACCCATATGATGGGAACAAAAAGGGAAGTCACTGCTCTGGCTTACTTGTATGTATAATAATCAGCTTGAACTACTGAGCTCTGTAAACAACAGGCTTTTTAGAGAAAGAAAACATAAAAAAACACTATAAATGCCCTTCTAGTATTAATTAAAAAATTTTATTTCCACCCACATACATCTTTGTCTAATCACTAAAGATAAGGCCATGAATTTATTTATTACAGGTATTTATATAGCACTGACAATTTACACAGTGCTTTTAGATAGTGTACACTCACATCAGTCCCTGCCCTCAAGGAGCTTGCAATCTAAGGTCCCTATCTCACATGCATACATACAGGGCCAATTTAGACAGGAGCCAATTTTACCTTCCAGCATGTCTTTAGAGTGTGGGAGTACCCGGAGGAAACCCAAGAAAGCACAGGGAGAACATGCAAAGTCCTTGCAGATAGTACCTGGTCGGAATTTAAACTAGGGACCACCAGTGCTGCAACGCAGAAGCGCTAACCACTACGCCACTGTGCTGCCCACTATTCTTACTTGCCCACTGATCACCATTTGGCATCTTACTTTGATAATATTTATTTATTAAAGGTATTTATATAGTGCTGACAATTTACACAGCGCTTTACACAGTGCACATTCACATCAGTCCCTGCCCTCAATGAGCTTACAATCTAAGGTCCCTATTGTACATACCGTGCTTTCCCGAAAATAAGACACTATCTTATATTTTTTTGGCTCAAAAAAACACACTAGGTCTTATTTTCGGGGTAGGTCTTGTTTTTTTTTTTTTTATGTACAACAATCCACACTTATTCATGTACAACAGTCTACATGTTTTCATGTACAAAAATATGGTGATCAGGGCAATCAGGGGTGCCGTACCTTTCCAAGAGCAATTTGCTAACCAATCGCTGGCCAGAATGAGCGAAGCACACTTTTACTATCGATTCCTCACAGGCGGAGCCGCTATAGATGAGGCATTGGCTTATGGGGCTCTGCTCCCTCTGGTGCCGCCTTGCTTCCTCTAGCGCTGGCTTCGTTGGCACCGCTGATTCTCTCCTGCCTCTCCCGCGGCTCTTCAAGTTCCCCTTTATGCCACCACCGGCCCTGGGAATGGTCACAACTAGATCTTATTTTCGGGTTAGGTCTTATTTTTTAGCAATTCCCAAAAATAGTACTAGGTCTTATTTTTGGGGAAACAGGGTACATACATACATACATAAATACAGGGTTGATTTAGACAGGAGCCAATTAACCTTCCAGCATATCTTTGGAGTGTGGGAGGAAGCTGAAGTACCTGGAGGAAACTCACACAAGCACAGGGAGAACATGCAAATATCATCAAATGTAATTGTTTTATTCAATCGTGAATTATTTTGTCTGCCTGTCATGTAGTATTGTGATATTGTTAGATGATCTGATCTAATTTCATGTTTTTTTGTTTATCTAGGGGACAGGTCCCATCTGTAGCTGAATCAAATTACTTGGGAATTGCCAAATCACTTGAAATGTATGGAGTTGACCTTCATCCTGTCTATGTAAGTCCTATTCTTCTATGTCATAAAGTACTTTATATATACAAACTGAGCACAGAAAAAGTGAAGGTTTTTCCTAAAGTAACCATTCGTATTACAAGTGGAATGTTTCTAGTTCAGGTTAGAACAAGTTTGATTAGAGGGTAGGACAAATCTCTCATCACCTGACAATCACATTGCAAGATATGCTTGTGTATGGTCATCCTTATACATCAGCCACAATGTGTTAGTTACAGGCTCTTGTGTATATTATAAAGGGGGCATGGTGAACAGCCATGTTGCATTTGCATGTATCTACTGTAGATATATGACTGTTATGGGTTACTACTGCACTACTGTATTTTATCATTGTTCTCTCCACTGCTTTATTAAATTACTGGTTTACATCAGTGTGCATGCAGCAGCACCTCTTTGAGTTGATGATCACATTATTTTAAGGTGCTATGATATGTTTTTCATATGCATTAAACATGTTTTTTTTCTGTGTTTTTGTTACAGTTGTGGTAAGAGTGGAAAATATGAGCTTTCCCCATTTAGTTAAAGCACACGATAACACTCATAATCATTAAAGCAGAACTCCAGGTAAAACTAATATTAACCCCTGCAGTGCGGTTACCCCGCACTACAAGGGTTAACTGCTCATTTTGGTCTAGGGAGGTAAAAAACAAAGTAATACTCACCTGATCCTCGGAGATGGCCGGCTCTTACAGTGCTCCTTCCAGCCTCTCTCTTTCTATGATGCAGCGATGGTATGTCCCTCGGAGTCCTCAACGTCTGTGTATGGAACATGATGACTTATGGGACCTTTAGAGAAGGCGAGAGAGGCTTCAGGGACCGATCTAAGAGCAAGCTGGCTCAGAGGATCAGGTGAGTATAACTTTTTTATTCTCCTCCCTAGACACAAGCGAGCACCTTACCCCTTGCAGTGCTACAAGGTTTAATAATAATTTTCTTCTTTTTCTTTAATGCACTGTAAAATAAGAGAATATAAACTTCAAATGGTGAGAATATTTCAGGGCTCTGGGAGGAGTCTCTTGCTATCCTTTATGATAGACTCAGCTTCATTTGTAGGTAGCTCATTATGGTTAGAAGATGCTCCAATAGGAGGTATTGAAGGCAACTCAAGCACAGATAACGGAAGAGTGCCAGACCAAAACAGAAGTCCGTAAAAAATATAAATAATTGTATTGATCAATCAGCCAACACTTTTTGGGGGCAGACACAAACCCTTTTCAACCAACCCCCTCCTCAGGGCCACAAAATAAACACAATGACGGAGTTAGATGACAGCGTGAATTGAAAAAAGAGTGAGGGGAAGATTTATTAAAAACCCCATCCCTATGTGCGATATCATATACAGTATTTAGAGTTAGTGGCTCCATACTATAATAAATACATGTGAGTAAATAAAATAGTAGTAAACTTTTTTTTTCTTTTATAATGATAATAAATACAAATCCAAACAGCTGGCGCCAACTTTCTCAGCTCAGCTTTCCTAAACATCCTGTCCAGTACAAGACCACAAAGGAAGGAGCAGTCTCCAGCAGCTGTCTATCTACTTGCTTGAAGATGGAAAAAATGAGGCAGGGGAGGAACAGAGAGCAGAGCAGTGTCCTGCCCTGCCTGCTCGTGTGCTTGTGGAGACACACACTGCTTACTAGCACACACAAGGGTGGATCCATAGGACCCTGCCACCCTAAAACAGGATATCAAGGCCACTGCTCAGGGGACCAGCTGATTCTGCAGGATATTAAAACTTTTAAACATCAAGAAGCAGCACCCATTGTAAGTGATTTAATCAGCATTTGAAATAGCTTAAAAAATGTTTGACTTTAATATCACTTTAATGCTGTTGCTGAGACATACATAATATGTTAGCACAGTTAAAATCCGATGGAATCACATGACATACAGAATATGAAGGCTGCCATAGCTAAGCACTTCATCTGAAAATGTCAGTGGTCTGGCTGTCATGTTGATCCAGCAGCTTCAATATGTTCTGTGGCTCTGACCTGGAATAAGTATGCAGATTAGCAGTCCTGATTTCACACTGACTTTTCATCTGACAGTGATGCCAATGATCTCTGATTTTACACTAGAAGAGAACATTCAAGTAGAGGAAAGGAGCAGGGCTTTGTTTTGCAAGGAACTTCATAAGAGATTGAGATTTCATAAGACATCACTAAATGCCTCAGTGCTGTGAATAATGAAAGTCTGAATTCATGCATGTCAGGGGCCCGTGTCTATCTGACTAATAATGGCGCTGTAATTATTATATGGAGCTTCTGTGATTTAGAAAAAGGAGTAATTGGACTGGAGAAACCGTTAACAATTATATATTTCTAAGCTACATTTAAAGCACAATTACCAGAAAGAGATACAATGTTATCATAAACATTTATAATGTAGAATAGACCATTATGCTGGTTTCATTGTTATTCTCGAGTATAGAATTGTCTGAGACTTACTGTATGAACAATGTTCTATGTATTGAATGTAAAATATAAAACAAGCCAGTTTTGCAGACATAACATAAAATGTGACTGGACTGAATTTAGACACATATAAAAGTAATGAAAGAAAACATAGAACATAAACCACAGGGGCAAGCTGTGCAAAAAGGTAAAATGGTTATAATTTAGTATTCAGCATTGCACAAATGAGGCTGTTATACAAGCAAAGTTATTTTAACAGAAGAGCAGAGGTGAAGAAAGACACTAAAAGGCTTCTCCTGTACTTTAACTTTATATTTTAAGCTAGAATACATCCAAATGTGATAAGGCTGCGGACATATTAGGAATTCCTGAAAAACCAACTGGAAATACTTGTGTGTGTACTGTTTTGCTTGTCAAAAGATTTGTAATACTGTATAGCCAGTCTTGTGATCCAGTCACCCCTACCAGAAAGCATAGCCAGGTGAGGGACTTCTCACTTCAGGTCCCAGCATTGACTCATTAATGGGGCCAGCCTCTGCTCATTTTGCTATCTCCTCTTGTTGTGCACATTGTTGCAGTCTTATTACTGGGGTACAGGGGGTTACAGGTGGCTGATTTAGGCCTCTTTCAGATGGGCTTTCTGATCAGGTCCAGTTTTTCAGGTAGACCTGATCGAAAACCTAATGCTAATCTATGGACATCTGGATCTAAACAGATGGGGGCGTCTGTTTACATCAGGTTACCCCTGGCTCTGGGCAGATCCGTAAAAACAAACAGATCAGAGTTCTGTTTCGCTGGACCTGATTGCGCCTGATCAGGGGTAATCTGATGTAAATAGACACAAGTCCATTTACATCCCATTCCCATAGATCAATATGGGTCCGGTAATTTCCGCTTTTTCCGCCATCACAAGATGGAGGAAAAAATTGGACGGACACGGATGTCACAACGGTGACCTCCGCTCCTATCAGAAGGGGATATGTGCACAGATCCTCTCCTGATTGGACAGTGTGAAAGTGACCTTAAAGACAGATCCAGTAACAAAAACGATGTTAAAATATTTTTACAATAGCAAACGTGAGCAAGGAATTTATCAAACCCAAGTCCCCAAAAAAGCAATGTAAAATTGATTTGCGTTGGCAGGTTAATCATAAAGTTACGGCCACGTTAACCAGAAAATATTGATGCTGCAAAATGTGTTCTGGGCATCTAAAATGTAATGGCCTCTCACAGTCTATTTGGAATGATAATAAAGATTTAAATAAAATGACCAAAATACTTACCTTTCTGGGAACAAAATGCTGATCCAGGCTTCCTCCAGTACAGTTATGTGATCTTATGATTTCTGCTGAAAGGTAGGTCCAGCAGCCCCACCCCCCTCCCCCACCATAAGATTCAGTTCCTAATAATAGATGAAAAGAGTACCTGTAAAAAAAGTTACATTAAATACTTACCTCACCTCCGTCTTTCCCATTTCAGGGTTTGACATAACTACCCTTCCAGCAAAAACTTATTGAAAAGTACCCCAAATCTCACAAGAAGGCACTGCAGTCTAGTCCAAGGGTATCTTCTTGCAAGATTTGTGCTACTCTGCATTTCCTAGGATTTTGCAGGAACATCACCCACGCCTTGGCGCAGCAGGCAGAAGATAGTGAGGGCTGAAATATGTCATTTAACTTTCCCTTTCTATAGGTACATTTTTCAAGTAATAATAGGCATTTGTTCAAGTACTGTTAGTCAGGGAGAGGGGGCCTGGACCTTATAAGCGGACCTTACATTTCACAGTTTTACATTTAAAGTCCAGTCCAAGTTCATTTAAAATCCAGCGTCAATTAGGATTTATTTTTTGGTCTTGGATAGATTAGGAAGATTAAAAGCTTCTATCAAACTTTTTTTTATTATTTTTTCGTGACCCCATTGGGGAACTTTCACCTTTTTCAGGATTTGAGCCCATTGGCGAACTTGCACCTTTTTCATTATTTTTCGTGAGCCCATTGGGGAACTTTCACCTTTTTCTTTATTTTTCGTGAGCCCATTGGGGAACATGCACCTTTTTCCCTATCCCTGTTGATGGCATGACAAGAAATGTGGGGAGAGATTGTCAACAGGACAGAAAGACAGAGACATTAATCATAACTCAACTGAGATTTCAGCCCATTATCCTGGCAAAATGTTTTGTTGCAGTCTGTAGCCTCACCAGAGAGATTTGCCATCACTTCCTGTCTTGACAAGATATTAGAGGAAATCTCTCCAGTGACACTTCCCATCTCAGTCCCAAAAAATAAAATAAGCACAAATTTGGCATGTTAAAAGTAACTGTTTTCTGTCATCCCCCATCTGTGGGTGAGCAGCACCTAACTTGCCTATTTTATCAAAGGGTCGTGGCACTAGAAAGGTTGAGAACCACTGAAATAGAGGATTTGTTGTCTCCTTTAAGCAGTGGTTCTCAAACTATGGGTCGCTGTGTGTCCTCCTCAGCCCTCTCCCAGCGCAGCAGTGTCAGTTCTCCTGCCACGCTGCCAGATGTCGCAGCAGCAGCCACGTCATCTCCAAATGTTACCATTGGGGTCACCACAACTTAGCAAATGTTACCAAGGGGTCCCGGCCCTAGAAAGGTTGAGAACCACTGCCCTAGAGGAATTGTATTGTCTCATATTCTGCTCATAAAATGTTCTAACCTTCTCACCCTCTTACTTGCAGCTGTGTGTGGATAGTCTGAAACATATGTAACAGAAATCACAGCTCTCTAGAATGGCCACATTTTACCAACAGTACACACCTACTGCAGTGAGGGGCTCCTCACCTATCTTTGTGGACATTCCTCACCTATCTTTGTGGACATTCCACGGTGGAGACTCTCGTATGAATGCCCGCTGTTTGTTCATGGCTTTTTAACCTACACAAAGAAATATTAACTTAGCTAATGTACTAACCACTAGACAAAGCCGGTATTATTTGTTCTCAAATGTTAACAATGCATACTTATCTGACATTAAAATAGTAAAAGAAAGTCCATATTTCAGAGATTCTAATGTTGCTTTTTCACATTTTGTTCATCCAATGTAAATATTAGAGGATAAAAATGTTGCAGTCGGATTTTTACTACTTACATAAAGGTGCCATTAGTAAGCTTGCAAAGCTCCCTATTCACCAGCTTCTCTTCCCCATAATCCTTTTTTTGTCTTCCATAACTCCTCCTTGCAATCTTATTAAGGTTTGTCCACATGCCTTTTTCCTTTGCTTTCTAATGATACTGGTAGTTATGTTACAAATGTTTTTAGCAGGTTAAAAAACCTAAAGTGGCAGTAAAATGTAAGGTCCTCTAGACTTGGCTGTGCGCACTCCCCCTTTACAAGTTATCTTATGCTAGTAGGTGTAGGGGTGGGCATATTAAAATTAAATTCAGGAGCCAGTGTGTTCAATCCATGAGCCAGCAGGATTTGTTAGGAGCCAGCTCTACTGACACCAACCAGGTGCCAGCTCTAATTTTTATTGAGCATTGGATGCTTAGCTCCTGGGATTTGTCCGGCCCTAGCGTAATATGTACCTATTGAAAAGAAACAAATGTTAGAATTATGCTTACCTCGTCTTCTGCATCGTTGGGTGACTATCCTCCTGGGAAAATTTATGTGCAGAGCAGGTATAATCTCGCAAGAAGACACTGCAATCTTCAGCTGTGTGAACCTTGGGTGAAAACATACTTTTAATTACCACTGGGTTTGTTATATGCCTAAAAGTAATTACAATTTGCTATATTCCTGGTCTTAGAAGATGTTAGCGCCCAGAGAGTTATATGATATCTTTTCACTTGGTGTTTTTTAAGGGAGACATTGCCCATCTATGGCCATCCTGTAGAATATAATTGCTAAACACTAATTTCGTTCATTGGGGAATAACAATTTTTAGCAAGGACTGCCTTGGCACCAGTGTTAACAATTGTTCCACTGTGATTCAGTTTAATCAAATTGCAAGTGCTAAATTATTCTATAGCTGAACTGGTTCACTTGTAACGTGTCAATGAATTCAAAGAAATGAATAACTTCCACTAATAGACTGCTTTTTTATTTTATACTTGATCTCTTAGTAGCATACTAGTTCTGTGAATATTCAAATGATATTAATATATAACAATTAAAATACATCTTTCCATCTAATAGAAAGAGGGTAGAATAAATGTATGCCATGTATTCAATTACAGATATGAAGCTTCCTCTTAAGTAAATATTTCCATTTCATTACTATTATCTCAAGGATTTTCCTCTGTTGCCACTGTTACTGCTTCTTTAACCTCATTTAATTCTCTATAGACCGTGAATTTGAAGAGAACATCATTTTTAGGTATTCATAAATGAATGCAGATTTTATTCTTCGCTGAGCATCATATGAATAGCACTGTATATTATACATTTGCTTAGCTTAGTGAATATGCAGAAAAGCTGCAGCTCTGAATAGGAATGATAATGAAATTAATGCTATGGCTTATATTGATGAATGGTAGACACAGTTACTTTACGCTCTTAATTGCCGCTGGGTATATTCTATGCCTAAAAGTAATTAAAATATGTTACATTCCTTTTATGTTAATCATTTTTTATTGCTGATCTCACTGTAATGCTAGCTTTGGCATATTTTTATATAGTAAAATAAGAGAGTTTTCCTCTTTTTGCCCATCCGCTGCGTCTATCTCCATTGACGGATTCTCTGTTTGTCTTACAGAGAATGCATCAAGAGGAGTGAGTCATGGCTGCTTGGCTTTGTAATGACTGGGGGCAGTGCCATAAACCATAAGTGTGTATATCTCACTACTGGAGTTGCTGGTTGGTTTCACTTACTGGAATTCTCCCAAAATTCTAATTAAAATTTTGGGTAAACTTACTGTTCAAAGAGGAAATGTCTACTTTATACAGGTTCCGAGAGTTCCTTCTCACATCAAGTGGTAGCTAGTTTTATAGTAAGTTAGCATTGCCCCTTGTTGTGGAAGTCTGCAGATTCTATTGGGCTTTATTCCTAAACATTGTAGGAAGAGCAAGTTATTGTTGTGCTCATTACAATAAATCAAGCAGGCAAAGAGCTATGGGAAGGTCACATAGGATCCTTCCTAAAGCTGGCTATAGACTGTTTGAATTCTGATAGTGGGTGGCCCTGCTGACTCAACAAACATCAAAGGAGTGAGGCCAAAAATTGTTGGCTGAACGGTAACTGTAGCCTATTGCAGTCACTGTTTAGGTATTCTGACAGTCGCTAGCAGAATACAATATCTTGGGGGTTGTTGTTGGTTTTGTCCAGCCTGCGGACTGAATTATGTTAGTGTATGGCTACCCCCGCACCTCAGGGGTTAAGTGCTCGTTTTGTCTTGGGAGCTAATAAAAGTTATACTTGTACATGTACTGATTGTATTACTGACTGCACTATGTCTTTTGAGCTGTAGATGGCAGTGTAGTGCAATGTTAGTCTCTCTATATGCATGCTTATCTATGTACACAGGAAGTTTTGGTATCTATATGTTTTCCTGTACAATGCTGTATACATACATATAATGTCCTTCTAAGCAAACAAAAAAACATAAACACAGAGTGCCACCTCTAAGTGTTTTATTAAGTGAAAAGTGAATAAAAAGCCATCAAATATACTCACAAGAGTATGATGTACTCTTGTAATGCTTTGATCATTCCTTTACATCTGCAGATCTACACTGGCTGTACATCGTACTCTTGTGAATATATTTGATTGCTTTTTATTCACTTTTCACGTATTAAATTACACTCAGAGGTAGCGCTCTGTGTTTATGTTTTTTGTTTGCACGATCGACAGGAATCCCTGACCATATGAGCAGAAGCCCCTTAAATGTTTTTACCAGTGTGACATGGCTGGAGGACCACAGAGGCTCTACTAGCGCTGAGATCAAGAGAATGTATATAGTAAAGACAATCTGGACCATCTAAGCAAGTAAAACTTAATTCAGCATTCCTCAAGATTCATCTAAACACATAACCAACAATACTCACCCGAACCGTGATCCCAGCTGGCTCCTACGCTACTTCCTCAAGCCTGTCTCCTCCTCCACTCTATACACTGTATAGAACGTGATGACTCACAGGACCTTAGACTGCTGCAGCGGTGGGGGAGCGAGGCTGAAGGGACTGGTTTAAGAGCAATAGAACAGTAGAAAGGCATCATGGCACACTCACAAACTAGCATGTAAAACAACTTGTCTCACCACTAAGGACAATGACAGAGGTTTGGATACACGTCTTCTGCAAAGGATGTGTAAGCCGCACTGCCGCGCCAAGGCACCTCTTATAGTGCGGTCCTAACTCTAAACTATGAGAGTCTCCATCTTGGAGCACATGGGGCAGAAGCGGTGGGGGAGCGAGGCTGAAGGGACTGGTTTAAGAGCAAGTCGGGATTGTAGTTCTGGTGAGTATAACTTTTTTTTTTAAAGCTCCCTAGACAAGACAGTACTTAACCGGTGCAGTGCGGGGGTAGCCCCACTACAAGGGTTAAGATTAGATTTGCACGGAATTCTGCTTTATGAAGTTTTAAAGGACTTGGAATTCCCAGTGTCTGTGTCTGTTTTTCTTTATTTTTTTTAAAATATAATATACAACTAAAAGATCTTATACAGTTTTTTATATGAGACATAGGAAACTACAAGTCATGTGGATTTATTTTATGAATGTCAGTTGCATTATCTTGAGCAATTTAGATGAGTTCATTGCAGTGCTGTTGTACTGGAAGAATCATGTTTTTATCCTGTTTTAATAACCTGTAATTATGTATTTTTTACAGGGAGAAAACAACTCTGAATATTTTCTAGGCCTAACCCCTGTGGGGCTGGTGGTATACAAAAATAAAAAACAAGTTGGGAAATATTTTTGGTAAGTATACATGTAAGAAAAACATATTAATTGTTTCTTGTGACAAAGTACAGTGCAGCCTACTCTATCATACTTATATCCTGTGTCACATGTTTTCAGTGTCCTTGCCGTGCTTGCACAGTGTCTCAAACCTCGGAAAATGTCTATGAGGATGTACTGTGCAGAGGGAGGCAGGACACTGAAGACTTGGGGCACAGGATATAAACTAACACTGGAGGCCGCATTTATCAAAATAAGTATGCATCTGGGGAGGGCGTGCTAGGGTAGGTTAGGTCATGGAAGGGGGCAGAAAGGATAAATGCATTTAGTTTTAAAACCAAACAGACGAGCAGCTAAATACAAAGCTATGCATAAGCCCAGTTTTCATGGCAAAATGTTTGACAGCGAGATATATAGGAAGACAAGTGTGTATGACTTCACATCATAGTGGTTTTAAAACGTTTTGAATCAGACACAAATGCATGTGTTTTGCAAACTTTTTGGCTTAGTGAATTAGCCCAATAGAGAAGCAAACTTAAGACATGGACATCTCCATTTCCATAGGTGAAATGAGACTTGCATATCACAATCATTATACAAATCCATATATATGCATTCGGCATAAATTCACCAATGCTTGTTTCCTGATTCCTGTCAGCAATAAACAGTGTTCATTCAAATGAGCTGCGCAAACTGAGATTTGTCTGATGTATACATTGATATTCACCCCTTTCTCTGCAATTCACCTGGATCTGCTGATCGATTGGCTTGTTCTCAGCATGCAGGCCGGACCCCAGTCTCTACCCAGAATATGGTTGGGCATATTCATGGCCACATATACAGTATAGCTATATAAATGCTTAGCCCCCAGCAGCTAGAAGTTTGATTTGCAGCACCAAGTTTGCAGCACCATTTGTTTGGCTTTTCTGTTTCTGCTGCTTTAGAACGGAATACAGATATTTATTTTGTGAGATAGCAGCAGCATTTCAACATCAAGGCAGGCTGCTCCTTACATAATCTTCTGGACATGTCTGTTGTTCAGGCTGCACCTGCTCCTGTAACTTTTATATCTACACTGATATCATATCACAGAAAATGCTTGACAAAAATTTCGGACATTTTCGTACAGAACCCTTAACACTCAAGAGTAAGGTACAGGAGGGAGGAGGGGCAGCGCCACACTCAGCTTTAAAGGAGAACTATGAGGTGAGTGATTTCCACTCATCCTCATAGTTAGAGCCGACGTGCGACATTAAAACTGTCACATATCTGCTCTATAGATCGGGAAGTGAGCGAACACATACTGTCGCTCGCTCACTTCCCGATCATCTCCCTGTTAGTCACGGCTCCCCACAGGTATTCCCCCCTCCCCTCTCCGATCCTTGAGCGCTGACTGGAGGAACGCATGGGGACGGGCACAGCTGGCTCTGTCTCTAGATAGGCGGAGCCTGCTGTCAATCAGCCAGCTGAGCTTTGGGTCACGGGAGGAGGTTAGTATATGTCCTCCCATGAACCTAAAGAGAACTATGGGATAAAAAGGTTATCCCATAGTTCTCTTTTAGGTTTAGTCTGGGGAATGTGCATAAAAAGTGTCTTTTTTGCAGACACACTGCTATGCCATTCATTCGTTCCTGCACCGCTAGACACGCATGCCAAAGCACAAGCATAGAGGTGAATTTATCAAAACTGGAGCAGACACAATCTGGAGCAGATTTGCACTGCAACCAATCAGCTTCTCTGTCTCATTTTCAAATCTTACCTGAGCAAACTGAAGAGAGATGCTGATTGGTTGCCATGGGCAACTGCTCCAGATTCTCTCTGCTCCAGTTTTGATAAATTCCACTCATAGTACAAATGTGGTGTTTTGCTGCAATGGGCAACACATTGACAACAATGTTCTGCCGAAACACATCACACCTTAATGAGCATAAAACCTGCATATCTTCATGCGTACTGTGAGCTGTCGACACATACAGGTGTTATCCAGGGCTTAAAGCAGGACTCTGGGGCAAAACTGTTTAACCCTTGCAGTAGGTCTACCCCCACACTGCAAAGTTCTTGTTTCCAAGTAGACTTGTTTTTAGACTGGTCCAGCATCTCTTCCCCTCCGCTCCAGCTGTGTAAGGTCCTAACATACCTCTTGTATATAGACAGTATTTGTTTATTACAAAGGTCAGCTGGAACAATAAAAGGTAAAACCTGCATATCATTTCTTCTGACTATAATTCTAGATCTACTGATTCATTTGACGTATGGTTTTAAACAATGGTAACTGCTTACATATTCTTTTCATCATAAGCTTAGGTTTAGTTTCTTGGGTATGTGACAGATCTGCTTTTAAACACAGCAGTGTGATTGTTTTCTAAAGGTCTTTTTATTACAGAAGCCAATATACAAAATCAAATTTGACCAGAGCTTACATTTCAGTTGTGTGTTTATGCCTTGTATTATGAATATTTTATTTGATGCGACTATTTACTTAGAAATGTGATTTTCTTTGTAGGCCTAGAATCACAAAAATACATTTTAAAGAGACACAATTTGAACTAAGAGTCCTTGGAAAAGATGTAAGTGAAATAAATGTACATCCAATACATAATATGATATGCATCAGTGTTTTAATTCCTTCTTCATTGTGCTGTAAATGTATAAATGATACCACCAAATTTTGTTTCAGCAACGTTTTCTCATTATGTGTAGAAATAAATATTTTTCTTATTTATCTTGTTTTTGCAATAGTTTGAATTGGAAGGATAGATGTTTACTATATAATTGATAATTGAGCTATGTATGGGAGAATGAGTGTCAAATGATGTGTATAATAATGATTTAGGCCCCATTTATACTCGCTAATGCGCTAATCACATGAGGTTAATGAATTCCCCTGTGGGACTTATGTGATCACCTGCGGATGAGAGATGCTGTACAATGCTAAAGACAGGTGATGCTATACAATGCAACGTCAGCTGCCACCACCCGCAGCTGTTCACAGGCCATTCGTATGTAATCGGGCATGCTGCAGTTACCTGTGGACAACTGCACCTGGGTGCAAACAGTCACAGAGCATGTGCTATTACATGCGACCAGCCTGCGAATTGCTGCATTGTATTGTACCGCATCACCTTTCTTTAGCTGATCACACGAGTCTCATGGAGGATTTTGGGAGACTCACGAGCTTGGCCCCATTCACAAGTATGAATAGGGTCTGATTGTCATAAAAAAATATAACGTTTGTCAAGACAGAAGCTGCATTCACTTGTCAGGCTGTGGTCATTTGTGACAATGGGCAGGTCCAGCAGCTACTACTTGTATGAAATGCATTTTTTGCAGTGCAGCTTCTATATAATTCTTGAGAAAATTAGTTTTTAACTGGGTCTCTTCTAAACAATCTTGAATGTCCTCTAAATTGTGTTGATGGTTATTTGTATGAGCTGTCAGTCAGGGCTATGCTGTTACCTAAATATAATATATAACATTTCTCTTGCATCATTTTTTTTATAGCCATTGAGCTGAAAGTTGCAGATGTTACTAAGAACCCAAAAGTTTATAAAAAGTGAAATGTATTTATCACAATGACATTTCATAATGCTTACACTTTTTATAGGGAGACACCCCCTAACACAGCCTTTCTTAAAGTGACATTAAACCCTCAGATTTTTTAACATAAAACAATACTGTAATGTGTGCCTTACTGTAATCCATGGTAGTTTCCCTTCTCTTTGCTGCTCTTCCTTTTAAATCTGTATCTGTTCTCATGCTGGGCAGAAATTCTGTTTTGCAGCAGACTGCCTTGTCTCTGGAATGGATACATGGTGTCTGTGTGTAGGTTTGCAACCTGAGCCAGCACTACAGGAAGAGGCACTCAGCTGCAAAGGGAAGTTCTCCCCAAGCTTGAGAAGACATGAGGATTTAAAAGGAAGAGCAGCAAAGAGAAGGGAAACAACCATGGATTACAGTAAGGCACACATTACAGTATTGGTTTATGTTAAAAAATCTGAGGGTTTAATGTCACTTTAAGTATCTCTATCTCATAATAAGTATCGTTATCAAATTAACAATTTGTTTTACATGGTCTGAGTCTATGTAACTTGTTAGTTGTTCATTATTTCAGAATTTTTTTTTAGTGGAGTTCCTTGGATAAAAGCTTTGTTTTTTCCCTTATCTTTATCTTATTTTTTCCTATCTTTAATTTGAGCTTGAAGAGCTGCTGGTGAAATTTCAGTAATGTGTTTAAATTGTGAACTTTCTAACTCTATACTACTTCCTGGGCTGTGGGAGGGGCGATTCCATCATTTTACTTCCTGAACTACATGGAGTGTTTCCAGTTATATAACAAATATGATCTATTCCTTTGAATCACCTAACTATACTCAAATTTCACTGTACAGATGTAAAAGCAATTTACAATATCACTATTTCTTTTATTAGGCAGAAAAGCCTTTTCTGTGCCCCTCTCTGATTACGTTTAGGGGTCTGACTTTGTCTGACTTTATGGCTTAAGCTGGCCATACACTTATGGTTTCCATGCTTGATTTCCCCTTACCCCATGCCAGGCTATTTCATTCTGACATATACGTTTGTGCTGCTGTCAGAATACCCAAACAGTGAATGCAGCTTATGGCATTTGTGGCGTTGGCTGCACTCATTGCTCTGGACCAGTTTATAGTAACAATGGTGGATTATGTCTGCACAAAATGTATCAGTACAGCCTTTGTAGTCTCCATCTAGGTGAGATGGTGACAGCACAGGAGCATAATTGGAAGACAGGTGTCACCCCATAACAGGAACTGCCTAAACATGGACCTTAAAGGAGAATTATGGGGGGAGTTAAAAACACTCATCCCCATAATCCGAGCTGACCTGTGACAAAGAAGCTGTCACAGGTCGGCTCTACTGATCGGGAAGTCAGCGAACACATACCGCCAATCGCTGACTTGCTGATCCTCTCTCTGCAGAGAGTAATTACTGTTAATCACAGCTCCCCGCAGGGATTCCCCCCTCCCCTCTCCGTTTCTCCAGTGAAAGGACAGGGGAGGGGGTGGGCAGAGTCAGCTGTCAATCAGCCAGAGGGGTGGATCTCAACAGTTTTGTCAGGATCCGTTCCAGCTGCGGCACTCTTAGCATATAGCGGGCAATAGCCCGCTATATACTAAGTTTTGGGTCACCGGAGGACACAGTATATGTCCTCCCGTGACCTTGAGGAGAGTTATAGGGAAAGTTTGCCCTATAGTTCTCCTTTAATGGCAGGATCACAAGGTGTTATTTGACTAAAGGATGCAGTTTTAAAAAGATTCAAAACAACTTTTGCAATCATACTGACATTAAAGCTGAGATTTTAGTGACTGGACTTAGTGCTATTTTGACATAGACCAGGGGACTTTAAAATTTTCAGTACAAGGGCCACATCATATATTGTACTAATATTTGCAGTCTGAAAAAGTGTTATAAAGGCATGAATTACATTAAAATGAATGTATAAGTCCCCATATATCCAGGAGTGCCCAGCTGTGTCCCCCCTTAAATTCATGTGTGCCCAGCCGAGTCCCCTCTTACCTTTCAGGTGGCATATTGGGAGGGCGGAGGTCAGTAGGTGAGGTAGTTCTGGATGAAGGAAGTCCGGTCCGGCTATAAATGCCAGGGGCAGATAGTTAATGTAATTGGTTGCTAGGGGAGCGGGGGTAATCTGCAATGGGGAATGGGAAACGGCCACGGCTAGATGCCTGACAGTGAATGCACCAGTCTTAATATTACAACACATAGACTCACGCATCCACTGCCAGTCAACCTGGGTTGCTGTGGGCCGGGTAAAATCTTGTAGCTGGTCAGATGTAGATTGGCAGCCCCTGTCAGAATGCAGTGCAAACAGAGGAGGATTTTCCCATCAACGCTCGAAGTGTTGATGAGGAATCTGTTCTGTGTTTGTAAGTTCAGCCCACGGGTTGACCAAAAATGTGTATACCACACTTTAGGCAATCAAAGCTAGCACATGACAGTTTTGGGGTTTTTTGCCCCCAGAAAAATTGTATCATCTGTATTACAGAAATCTTCAACACAAACAGGGTTCATCATGAGAGCCTGGTTTGTTCATTCAGATACTTTAACACACCATGTTTTGCCTCATTTTGTGCTGGATGCAACATTTGTCATACTGTAAAACTATAAAAACTCATGTAGCAATGAACAAGTTAATAGGAAGAAAATCCTATGTTTTCCTTGTTGTCCTGTATACTGTAATCATAATAGAGAATAGATTGAAATGGAAATTTTATCTACAGCCATTTAGAAAGCTCGGAATGAAGAGAGGCCTATTTGTGACTGCAGAGTACATGGCAAAGTGTTGCAGCCTGGAGCTTTTTATAATAAATTCATAAATGACATACAGATGTGACAGGGCTTCTGCAGTAAATTGTGTATAAACAAATCACTCACTGGTAAACAGAAGTGCTTGTGATTGAGGGCGGCGTGATGGGAAGAAGAAGAGACAAGCTGATTCTTCATGCTTATGTCTGTAATTGCTTATGCTAGCTGTACATGGGCAGAACTTTATTGATAAGACATTTCGAATGTAGGGTCTCTAAAAAATGAAGAAGCATCAATTCTAGCTGTGTTTCTCCTTCCAACAAAAAATTATTTTTCTCCATCATAATAGATGTGCAGTAAGGGAAAAGAACCCGTGCTTTGCCCATGAAAAAGTTTTGGCTGGATGTCTACTTTAAACACAAGCAGTCATCTAATGCCACAGGTAAAGATTAGGGATGAACTGGCCGGCACAAATGATGGTGGGTGGTTGGATTGTGTCTGCAGATCTGACCCCCTCCTGTGACACACCAGCGATTGCTCCCTCTTGGCTAGGAGAGCTCTGCTCAGCCTAATGTCTATGACACAGTCATTGGCTGCAAATTGTCAGTGAAAATTTCTGTAAAGGCAAAGGAATCAGCTTTATTTGCTGGCCCAAACACTTTAAAATCTTCTTTGCCAGTGAGGAGCAACATCACAATTCTCTGGCCAGCAAGGGAGCAATGCCACAGAGATGAGTGGTTTCTGTGCCCTCTCTAGCAACTGCTAGTGTGTCATAGACCTAAGGCTGTCATAGACAATCAATCTAATAATCTCAAAGGGGCAATAGTAAGAGAACTGCCAATTACTACTGAATCCCTTGGACCTGGTGGCACTTTTCGCATAGTGATCCAGGTATCTTCATGGTGGAGTATTTCTGCAATGAGTGAATGCTCTTGTTATTGTTTAGGTGTTAAACCCTGCAGAGTTCAGATATTGCTGGTGATGTCCATGCCAGTTGCATCTCTTATAAACTTTAGGCTGTTTGTGGCCGCCCTTGTCTAAAAACTGGCTATCCAAAGCAATAATAAAATTCATACCACATTATTTAAAATATTGGGAGGGGAATTTATCAAAACTGGAGCAGCTGTGCATGACATCCAGTCCGCTTCTCTCATCAGTTTCTTCAGTTAAGATTTGAAAATGAAAAAGAGAAGCTGATTGGTTGCCATGCACAGCTGCTCCAATTGTTGTCTGCTCCAGTTTTGATAAATTCCCCTCAGTATGTTTA